GCGGAGCGCGCGGCGAAAGCGCGGGCGCGGCGGGCGGGCCGCGCAGTGAGGGCCCGGGCCCTGCGGGAGCCCAGGCCCGGGAGGTTAGAGCTGCTCTGCAGCCCCCAGACGGTAACCGCTTTCTAAAAACACCTGTTAAAATAATTGAAAGAATCTATACATATATGTGATTCTATATGTATTATTATTTTTCAGTGAGAAGATTGCCTGTGATCAGAAGGAGGAAGACCGCAGAATACAGCGTTGTGCTTAAGAGTCTGTGGTCGCCGAGCAAGGAGCTGTTACATCAGTTGCCTTCTGGTAGTTTTACTTTTTTTGGCAGTAGAACCACTGTGTGGTGTGTGGCCTCTCCTGCCTGCATTGAGAAAGAAGGGTAAGCCTAAAAGAAAAAAAAATGAGGGGGAGAAGGAGAAAAAACCCACAGTATTCTGTAGCTGTTGACTCAAGAATTAATATGTTAACATACGGATGAGCTGACAGTTTCCTTTTGTTAAAATTTTAATAAAATTAAGGTTAAAATTGGAGTTACATCACTGTATGGGCACTTCAGTGATGTTTAATGGGGAGGAAAAAAAAGCTGTTAATTCTTTATCACAAATACAGTCTTAGTTATGAAGTCATGCGTGAAGCTTAGTAGTATATGTATATTTAAGGACTTCTTTCACTTGAAAGACTTTTTGGCTTCAGATTGGATGTGGAGGTGAAAGGCATCTTGTCCTGAATAAGACTGTGCATGGATGTTCTTATTCTGTCATTAGGTTGCTTCATGTCAGGCTGGCTTAAGCCATTTCACATTAATTTGGGAAAGTGATACCCTCTGTGTGCAGTCCTTTAAGGCATTGCATATACTCTAATTATTGTTCTAAGCGAATGTGCACTTAAGTAGCCAGTTTGTACAAACTGTTGTTTGTGCCATAGAAAGGGGAATTGAAACTTCCACAATGTTGCTGTATTGAAGCAATAGCATTAGATGGAAAAAAAAAAAAAAGCAGTAGTGATCAGTGAACAGCTGCATGTGTGGAAATGGGTGCAAAGCAGCACTCTTTAAGGAAAGGAACTTTCTACAGTCATTTCTATCAGACGTGTGACTAAAGATAAGAAAGGCATCTCGAAACAGTAAAGGAGTGGTGTGAAACATAGTTAAGTGAACAGAGTGACTTCCTAGCATTATCAAAATTATCGCTAAGTGAGCTAGCAAGTGAAATGTGTAAGCAAACGTGTGGAGAAAGATCACGCCCACCTTGTAGTGCCTTCCTCTCTCTCCCTGCTCCTTTTCAGCACATAGCAAGTACCACTACTTGTTTTGCTGTGTGACTTGCAGCACAAGAAAATCGACGCTTAATTTTGCTCAAAGAGAAGAGTAATTAAGGGGTCCTGTGATGTACGTGGAAGTCTGTATGTTTTATTGTGGTATTCTCTAATTTAGAGTTCTCTTGAAACCCCAAACCTCTACTCTTATGTGCATTCCAGTGATAATGCTAAGGTGTGGGTGCCCTAAAAGTGCTGTCAGTTCCTGGTGCTTCTGACAATGGAAAAAAGTTGACAGGCTATCACAGTGCAAAACTAAAATGTGAAGATGCCTCCTTTAGTGCAGTTTGCCAAACAGCTTATTTTAACATCTAAGCTTGGTTACTATGTGATGTAAACCAATAGTATTTTGATCTGCAGAACCTCTGATTTTAATGGGCTGTTAAACATAATGAAATGATGCTTTGCAAAGAAGTCATGAATTAATAGTTATAAAATCTTAAGGCAAGGTAAACATCCATGAAAGTAGTTGATCTCAAAGTCAAAAGATTAAATAATCTTTTTGCACTTCCCCATTTTTTTCAGCTGAAGGCTGTAGTGAATCACCTGTACAGTTCTTCTGCTTGAGAAAGAAAACTCTTCAACCATGGCAAACCAGGTAAGATTACTTGGTGAGAAATTCAGGTTGGCAGAGCTTAAAGGGATTCCAAAACCACACTCAGAATTTATAGTAAATGTAAAGCTGAAATAGCTAGTTTGGTCTGAGTTGGGTATTTTTCTAGTCTAATGATTTCTTCACATAATTTGGTAATTGATGATTGTCCTCTGGATTTTTAATCGCATCAACTGCAGTAGGTTGGGGCATAATGCCAAATTTTGCAGTTTGTTTTATTTGAGCATACTTGAGCACGAGCTCTGGATCTTGTGCTTAACACACTCTATATATAGAGGTGTTCTAGAAGAAGAACTTTAAAGTCTGCGTAAGTAAAAGTTACTGAAAATTACTGTTCTTTTTTTTTGGAGCCCGGTCCTGGAAGTCTTCATTCCTCAATCTTAAGTGAGGGAGGCAACTGCTCTTGTCTTGCTCTTTTGCCTTTTTTTCCCCTCTCTTTTGTAGATATCTTGGTTTGTTTTAAACTCGTGTGGTTTTTTTTTTTTTTTTGAGGGTGTTTTTGAGTTTGTGAGGCACTTTTTTTTTTTTTGCCTGTCTTCCTGGCGTTGCATCTGGGTTTGAGTTTTCCCTCAGCCAAGCTAGTGTGCATTCCTGGTCTGCCTACTGGCCCCCTCACCAGCATTCCTGGCCTGGAGAATTGACTCACTAGGTAGTAGTGGAGAGGCTTCTTGCAGAGGAAGAGGAGAATTTGTAGGTGATGTGACAGGGCCAGCCGAGATCTCCTTTAGGCAGGAGATGACTTGTCTCTGCCTCTTCATCGCTCCCACTGCTGCTGCAGAGTTTCTTCTGAGTCTTAGAGCTCAAGTTGTGCACAATCCGTTCTTTAAGCTAATCTATAGGATTGGCCAACATCAAGGGCTAACTACTTTTTTTCCCTAATTCCAAGAAGAAGCTGTCCATCCCTTAGCCAGCTTGACAGGTCAGGGGAATATGGCTGTTCATGCAATCCTTTGGCTCTGTTATTTTTGCCAGGCATTTTCCCCAGAGGCTGCTTTCCCTCATGGGAGGCGGAGGGACAAATGGGACCCCAGGCTTCTTTCAAGGGCAAGGTGAATATGGGGAAATCACCTGTGGTGATGGGGAGTGGGTGGGAGGAATGTAAATTAGGCTATATACTATAAAGGTATTTTCTTTTTATTCCAGCAGGATTTACTGGCGAAGAGAGAAGCTCTGCAAGCCTACAGCTGGTGGAGAACACCACAGAAAAAACGGAAGAAAAAGAACAAAATAAAACCGGGAAGAATAGAGTTTGTTCCTAGTAGCACTAATACTTCAACCAGGTAAAATATTTTTGAAAAGGGAAGAACTGATTCCTATCCATTTAAATTGTGATATGGTGCTTCTGGTGCATGTACCAAATACAGCTTGTACTAATATACTGCCAGTACAATAGCTGCTGTGGTAAGTTCATCTCCTACTCTTACTGAGAAGCAGTGGTGCAATATGCTGATAACTTTTTTTGAGTTATTTCTGTAATTTGAGGCAGTATTTTTTGATGGAAGAATGAAAAACTTGTGCCTTCATTTCTGTTGCTTGCAGGTAGTTTTTAAAAAAAGTTTTAATCCAACTTGAAATTTGAAGTGTGCTTTGGTAAAGCAATAAAATGGACTGAGAAACGCAGAGCTTTATGTTAGAGTAATGGCATTGCGTTCCTCAATAGTTTTTTCAGTTAATGTTTTTTGTCGCATTTCTGTTTTCTAGTGATAAGTGTCTGTATATTTATGTAGTGTCATAATCTTATAGCAATATTTTTTTTCCTAAATAAAAGACCAGATTATTCAATATTTGTTGGGGAGCTTACCCCAGAAGTGGATGACTTTCAGCTCTATGACTATTTCCTGAAGAGGTACCCTTCGTGTCTTGACTGCAAGATAGCGACAGATCTCCTGGGCTATTCCAGGTAACTTCTACACACGTTTGAAATGCTATCAGTATGTCTGCTTCTTTGAGTAATATATGAACACTTGCATCTGAACTTTCTGCCTTCCTTTCCCGTTCCCCACACCCTGAGGCAGGGAGAGAGCAGAGATCAGTCTTTAGCATTACTTTCTTTTAACAACAGAGATGCTCATGTTCCTGGAACTTTGGAGTTAGGCATAGGAAGCTAATAGGATGAACTTCCACTTAAACATCTGCATGCCTGCATGCAAGGAAACTGAAGTGGCGGGAGGGGGTAGAGCCACGCATTGAAATCAGTGCTGCTCTGCTCACGTAACAGCAGTGTCTGCTTACTCATCTGCAATACCCAAGACAAAAATACTCATCTTTTATTTGGAAGAAAAGAATGGCCTGGCAAACTGTAGGTGGGGTTGGAAGGCTGAGCCTGATAGGCTTTATTTACTACTCATACTAGCAGAAGCTAAACTGGCTGTGCAGTGAATCAGGCAGGAATGAGAGAGTTTGCTTTTTTTCTGTCAGTGCTGGCTGCAATAGGTACACTCAAGAGAAAGCCCCTTTGAAGTAAAAATGTTAGTAAAAAATACAGTGATAGCTGGCTAATTGCTGTATATGCAGAAGCGTAGAATCTGATCAGTTACATAAGTAAACAGTACAAAAGCATATATTGTTTGTGCTGGCTCTCAGCTGGTTATGTCTTAATGTTACCAAAGAACAAGCTGTTTGCTTTTGGCCCAAGTTTTTGATTTGGTGAAAACTGTGCATGTGCACATGCTGGAGAGGCTGAGTTCTGTAACAGAAGCTCTAGTAGAAACTATCGTAACTTTTTTTGTAGAAGACAAATTGGTTTTGTATGTTACGCATACTAGAATTTTTGTTTTCTCCCTTTTGAAAATTGTAGAGGGTATGCCTATGTCAGATTTGGTGAACAAGGTGATCAGATGAGGGCACTGCAAGACTGCCAGAATGCGCCAGGTCTGGGGGGAAAACGAATTCGGCTGAGCATAGGAATTTCTAAAAGGTAACAAACCAGCTGTGCATTGATACAGTAGTTCTAAATCAGATTCTTGTAGCTCTGCCTTCGTAAAATCTGTTTCACTTGCTGTAATGACTGTACACGTGATGCAGTCTACTTCTGCACTTTTTTATTTTTTTATTTTTTTATGTTCCATATATTATGTTTTGACTCCCTGGATTCATCTACCCTTCTAAGGGTTGTTGGGGGAGAGGTAGATTCCAGGTTCTGGAACATAGGCCTAGCTGTTGCTGTGACCAGTCTTGTTTCTTAAAGTAGCAAAGCTGAATGCATTCATAAATATGCTCAGGGCTTAGGCATAAAGAAAGCAGAAGGGTGACAAGTTAATGCAGGGTTTTGTGTGCTTGAGGCTTTTCTATTCTAAATAGTAGCACATCACTAGTTTCCCAGCAGGTTAGGTGAGGCAGGAACTCTAACTAGAGGGAAAAAAAGAAATGTATTTAGGGGGAAGAAGGCAGCAAAGAAGGCTGTACTCCACACAAACTGTTCTGGTAACATTCTTTGCTTTCCAAAGCTGGGCCAGTGGGACTTGAAATTCACATTTCTATCATTTGAGAAGCTTTTGATTTTTGCCTTCTCAGTTCTTTAAGTCAGTCATTTGAGGCAATCCACCTCCTTATAGAATTGAGACCAAATTTAATGAACTCTGATCCAGGATGCAGACAAAATGGAAATTGTGTATGTGAAGTTTGGAGTATTAATAGATTAGATTGTATGTATGTTTTGTTAAGCAATAGAAATAATCTCTTTCTGTCCTTACCCTTGATAATACTGCAAATGTTGCCTCTGTACGTAAGAATGGAAATGCTCTTTTCAAAGAGGGCACTGTCCAGAAGTGGTCTGACTAAAAGAGTTTGAAAACAGGAGTAGGTCACGAAGAAGGAAGTTTCTCCACTTCTGCTACCGAGAGCAATGCTGCAGTGTTTAAGACTTTTTTTCTTTCTTACAGAAATGGATGTGTGGGGAGAAGTTAGAGGCAGAAGACTTTAGAGGCTGTTATTTAGCTGTTTGTTTGTTACAGTAGTAAGATAACAAAATGCCTCTTTCCTCTAAAGGTGTATATGTAATCTAATAATGATATAAGCTTAATGTCATAGATGAAAATGGATGATGTAGTCTTCACTATTTCTGAATGGCTGAGTTCTGTGCTCCCTTAGCATCACAGTATCCAGCCATCGGAGTAGTTTATTACAAATGTTCACTTAATTTGGAAACTTATCTGTGAATTCCTTTTAGTCTGTGTCCTTGACAAAAGGTAGGCCTAAGCCTGTCTCTTCTGTTGGGGATGCAGAGGAACTGGGCACTGGAAACACAAGAGGTCTGCTTCTACTGAATCAGTGGAACAATGTCTAAACAATTTTTTGGAATATGCAGCTGAGTTATCGGAACTGACTTCTTTCAGGATACTTGTCTTCTAGTGCAGATAATGTTTGTGCCTTGATTGCTGTCAGTTTGAAGCTGCCTCAATCTTTTGAGGATATAAGCGGTGAAAACAAAAGAACCGGTCCTTTGTCCTTAAGAACCAATGTATTTGGTGACTTTACCACTGATTCAGCTTCCCACTGGATAATAGTGAATATTATTTTAAAAAAAGATTAATTTTTTTAAATTGACAAACTGGCAATTACTGAAACATGCTTTGGAGAATAAAAACAGAAGGTGTGGAGGCAGACACGGCACACTGGCAGGTAGTGTCAGATGCTCCTCTGAATCAGATAATCTGATTTGGCTCATTTGTTTCTGGAAATAAGATCTAGTAATTAAGCAAACAAAAGATAGAAGGGCTAATTATGAATGAATGTACTTCTGAAGCAGCTGTGCTTGGTAAATGCTGCCTGGTTTTAATCAACTAGTTTTTAGCAGAGCATTGAGGCTTAGCAGCTTGCCTATGCTGATAATAAAAATAAATGAATAGAGAAAAGTGCCATGTATCTAGACTTAATCCAGGAAAATGACTTCTGGTCTTGGCTAAGGTGAGAGTTTAATAACTTCTGTCTAAATGAGGCATTTCTTGCTGTCACCTAGGCAGCTGTTAATTTTAAGAAATGTTTTCTTTGAAACTCTGAAGTGTGTAAAGTGGCAGACTGTTTTATTTCAGATATAGTTTTAACGCTTGTTGTTCTCAAACTCTAAATGTTTATAACTTTTTAATGTTTCAGGCTGAAAGCAGAATTCCAGCGGTACCCGTCATATAACTATAATGATTATTACCAAGATTATCAGAATTACTACTCGCAGTGGAATTATGATCCTTATGCTGACTACAACTATAGCTCCTATGCTCCCTATGATAGTATGCAGGCTGTTGGAGACTGCTCTTTAGGAGATGCTGTTATGGCTCCTGCTGTTTTTGAGGTAAAGATACTACAAACTTGTTTCTTTGATTCCACAAATAATATGACTTTGTGTAAATTAGAGCAGAAAGTCCTAGTACTGAAACTTTGTCTTTTTTTTTGCTTAGTGTGTAGTGGGGGTTAGAACAAGTTTCCCTCTGAGATTACCCATGACTAATTGCTTAAGCAGTACACCTCTAGTTATACCTTATGTGCTACTCACATGTACCAAATAATGGTTTTGACATGCAGAATCATGTTGTTCGTGTGCTTTGCTTCCATCAAATTAAGGAACTAGTATAAGAGGTGTTACGGTTGACTCAATTGGCTGATCTAAGATGACCTCTGGAGGTCCTTTCCAGTTTGAACTGAACTTGTGGGCTTCTCATGTAAAGAAGTTGTCTATGCCTGCATCTGTATGAATAGGGAACAACTTGGGATTCGGAGGTGACAGTGTTTGTGTCACTTCCTATACCTCCTCACAACATAAGTACAAAATTAGTTTGAAGTTTTGGTGTGTGTGTATATATACATAATATTATAATGAATATTATGAATATAACAATTTTGATCACTCTCGTTTGTTTCAGGATACTTCAGCTATGGTTGAAATCAGTGATGACCTAATAATTGAAGGTAATAACAACTGTACTATTGAATTTGAGTTTAGCTATACTTATGTCTTTTTAACAGTCTGAGCCAACTTCTGCTTGAGGTGTGTCCTGGAAAGCCAAGAAGGTAACTCGTGCCCCGAGGTCTTTTGTGAGGTGTAGCTGAACTGAGTTGGGATTGCCAAGTATAATGGGATGTTGTCAGTAACACAGGAGCATTTCTCTTAATGCTACCATCAATCTTCCAAAATGATCTGATACAGAATTTCTCTCTGTATTGATTCTGCTAGGCAGACTCTGTATAAAATATTCATTAGCAGGCAAAAGTCTTATTTCCAAATCCTGAAGTAAAAGCTTGCCTTGCATATGCTAAAATGAGTATCCAGCTTGTACTTAGCTTTAGTACCAAACTAATTGTTTGGCTGGGAAGGTTCTGGAACAGCACTTCCTACTCTGACTAGTAGAAATGACATAATAGACTTGGGGAAAAACTTTGTGGTTTGAAAATAATCCTTATGTTGAAGTACAAATGTAGTCTTTACACTCTAATACAAGAAATTTGAAAGAAGATGGACTTGTGCAAAGTTTTGTCATAATTCTAAGGGAATGTACAGATTTGAACTTATTAAATAAGTAGTAACTGCAGAGTATGTTTATTCAGTATTTAGTTCTGTTTCTCATGTACCTCTCTGAGGCTGGATACCTGTACTTACCAGGCTTTTGTTTTCAGATCCCCAACTTCACTTGGATATTGATGAAATGAACAGACAATTTATGGAGACAAGTGAAGAATTCTATGATTCGCTCATGAATTGTCACTGGCAACCTCTGGATACGGTCACTTCTGACATCCCCTTTGCTATTTAAGTGTCTTATATAGCATGACCGTTATGACCAAGGTGCTAAAACTACATTTCTTCTACATTACTCTAGATCATAAGTTTTAAAGCACAATGATAAGTTGGGTTTTTTTGCTATGCTTTTGACAGATTCTGTAATTTTTTTGTTCATCACTCGACTCTTGGAGCATCTTGAAATCATGTAAATATTCTAGAAATGTAAAGAGTTAAATGGGGTCTAAAGATAGACTTACCTGTGTAAATAAAATTTTGTTTCTGCAAACCTGCCAGCAAGGGATCTTACTCTTACATGTATGCAGCACATTCTCTTCTGGCTTTCAGAATCTAATGGGGTATTTCATTTGCCATTGATTTGCAATGGGCCTAGGTCATGACAACCTCGTTTTCTAGGTTTCTTAGGCTGTTGTTTCTTTTTACAAGCACGTAACATGCTTTGATAAAGTATACTTAAACATTTTGGGGGCTTGCTGTGAGGACACATACTCCCACTGTTCTGTAGCCTCGTGCTGATATGAACAGGGGCCCATACTTTGGCATGTCGCATCTGCAAGTATTCTGTAAGTAAGGATGTTCTCAGCGGACCATCTAAGTTCCACTGCACAGTTTCTCCATAAGGTGTTCTCCTGTTCCTTCAGCCCTTTCAGCTGACATTTTACAACCAAAAACTTCTCTAATGTTCTTAAACCTGAAAATTATTGGAGGAAATGAGCATCACCCAACAAAAAGCTTTGTGCTCTGTTCTAATCTCTACAACAGGATCAGTCTTCCCGATGTTCACGTTGTGTGCCAACATCAGATGGGTGGTGGTTATTCTTTTGGTTTTGTTTTTTAAATAACCTCATCATAAAGCTTATAAGTAAGGTGTCTACCTTCAGTGTTGAAGGCAAAGGGGGAGATGATGAGCAGAGTGCTGCTTTATTAGCCAGCCACCTGTCAGTAGTTTTCCTTTCGCTTAAACTGCCCTCATCTTGAAAGGCCTAAAGTATTTGGTAGTCACAGTCTACCTAACAAGGTAGAGGCAAAAATACTCACTATTAAACACTGTAAAGTAGTAAATGAGGCTGGAAGTAGAATGTAGCGTAAGTAATAGCTCTGAAAGCAACTAAAACTAGTTGGGATACTTGTCACAGGGCTACTGCCATGTGTTTTGGAGGCAGTCTTAAAACAGGACTTCATTTTCCTGGCCTTTTAAGGACACTTTTTTTTTAATGTAAAACATCTATTGAATCATTTTGGTAATACTGGCCAGAAACTCCTGCTTTTTATTCACTGCTTAACATCTGTTAGGAATATTTTTGTAGTAAAAATCTGCCACCAGCTATCGAATTTTAAAAGGACAAGTCTTGGAGTACCCTAGGACGTTTTGTTCCTCCTCTGCTTTTGCAGAGTTACATATAGGAACAGCTACAAGGCCAATAACTTCATGACCCCTGCATTTGGGAAGAGCTGGTTCCTAGTAGCTGGAAAGAGGGATTTGGCAATTCCCTTGTGCAAAAGGCTGAGTCTTTGGAAGGTGATAGGAGGAGTGTATGTATGAGAATTTGATGGAAGGTGGAGGTAAAATGAATGGAGTCAAAGAATGGCAGTGGCTGGAGAGGGACTGCATGTATACATTGAATTGTTTTAGGAGACTAAAGCATGGGGGAACCCTTGAGCTGGTAAATGGAGGCTCCTTAAATTTGAAGGGAGTGGGAAAGCTTTGAAAAGAGAAAAAAAGAAACAGCCAATGTGTAGCTGTGGTACTTGAGCTTAGCACTAAAAGGCAGTCTGCTGCGCCCTGACTTACGGAGTTAGTAGGCACCGTCACCAGGAGCAACAAGGATCCATAGGGAGCATGGAAGGCAGCATGCAGCTCCATTCCCCACTCTCCCTGCTTGGAGCACCCTGTGTAATGCTGTTTAACACCATGCTTGCACGGCAGCGAAAAGTCTAGGGAAGTCTTTTGTGCTCCTTTAAAAATTAGGACAATAAGAATGTTGGCCTGTAAGAAGTATGGACTGATTGCTCTAGAGTACACGTGCCAAATTTTGACAGTTTTGAGAGGCCAATCCATAGTGTGTAAGCTGGGTAACATGGGTGCAGGTAGCTATGTGGCTTTACTCCATGTGATGACGTGGCAGTGAGAGCACCATGCTCTATGAACTGCAGCACCATTTTCATTCAGTTCTCCCTATTTTGACACCTGTATGCACCTTCTGTTCTAGAACAAAAATTGCTTAATAAGGGAAATTCCAATTTTGTAAATTCAGTGAAAGACAGTGGGCTGCTCGTGTATTTACCTGGCAGTCAACTTAAAAAGAGAGGGGAAAAAAAAAAGTAGAGGAGCATATGTTGATTGCAGCTGTATGATGCTCTTCCAAAATGGTTTTCTATTCCCCCTATTATTCATTTATTGTGTCTTATTGTCTCTCCTTAAGCTTATCAGCTGATTCCCTTTTGCAGTCAGGGATACATGCCTGAGCTTGATAATGTCAGAGTGTTTAGGGAGGAGTACAGTGCTTATAGTGCAGGTTTTTGACAGTAGAAGCAAAATATCCTCCCAAATTGGCATTACCTGTAAAACCCAAATATGGGAAAGGGTGTTTTCATTATAACCAGGGGAATGCATTGCTTAGATTTCCTACCTAGTTCTATAACTACCAGCACGTTAGGTGGCTTACACAAAGACCTGAACACATCCTAGGGCTATCTGCTGTCAGTTCTACAGAGATGCAATTACAGTGGGAGCTTTCCCCCCCCCCAAAAAAAAAAAAGACAACCAAACAAAAACACTCTTAAATGCAACCTTTTCAATACCACCACATCTTATTTCTTCTGTTTTATCTCTGTTTTATCTAACTGAAATTACTGAGTAGTTGGAATAGGTGATACTTTAACTCAAGATTTGCTTTTTTTTTTTTTTTTTTTTTTCTTCTCCTCTCTCTCCTCCTCCTGGTAAAGTAGCTTAAACATTTTCTATCCCTCCTGTGAAAAGAATGGTTTTAGTACAATGGTATGAGGGGCTACTGATTCCACAATTATGAGCAGTGAAAAAAGTAACAGGTGAAAAAAAAAGATGAAGTTACTTAAGCCTTGACTGTTTCTTTTTGCAGGATGCTCTTGGACCAACAGCTTCTTTCTAGCACTACCTCAAAGTAAACTTGCAGATCTAACTCACAGGGAAGACTCATCAAATGCTGATGATCCCTCTCATTCGGATGGATATATATATTTTTTTGCCTTTGCCTTTTGTTTTGGCTTACTTTTAATGATGCATATTTAACTTCAGTGACTCATGTTAACAGACATTGTTTGAGTACAGCTGTAAGCATTTCTGAGTCATAAGTTTCATTAAAGGCGTGTCATTATATAGAAATGGTTCTAAATAAGTAAAATGTACGTAAAGTAAGTAAATAAAATAGCATATGACTTTACAGAGAAAAGTTGTAGCGTAGCTGCCTTTGACACTCACCTGAAAGAAAACGTCATTTCAGGTTATCCTACCACTTTGCGTACGTCAGAAAAAGAGAATCTTGTTTTAAAATGGACCAACTCTTACCAGTGTCCGATGTAGGAGTAAATTGAGTGTGGACAGGCTTTTAGAAGTTGGCATTAATACTGATAAACGGCCGTTATTAAAAGGGACAGTTTCTATCCCTTTGTGAAGCTGGTTATTCCCATAACGGATTCTTTGTGGAAGACAGTTTTAGCACAAGAATTGATTTCTTGGCCAAAACGAGAGGGGAAAAAAAAAAATAAAAAACAGCCTCAAATGTTGCCTTCTTAGTATTTTGGTGCAAGCTCATCTTGATTGTTTATAGATCAATATAAACAGCAATGTATGTTGGGAAACAGAGCCGTGCCTTGGAGCGAGCCTGAGGCACGCTGTTGGCTTACAGGAGATGAGGTGGTTCCTACAGGCGCCTTCCGAATCCGCGCGCTCCTTTTCCTGCCTGCCACAGAGATCCCGCTAGGTCTAAACCGGTGGTCAAGCTGATGGGAGAGGGGAGAAGAGCCTGGAATTCCAAAGGTTGATGTTAGGAGGAGAAATTCCAGAGTGATTCCGGAAACCAACGGCAACAGCAGCAGCCACCTCCCGCAGACGGCCACAGAGGCAGGGCTGGGGGCTCGGAGGGCCGCGGGGCCGCCCTGCTGGTAGGGATTCTCCAAACCCTGCCGCTGGACGAGCTCTCGCGGGGAACGGAAGCCTTGGGATGGCCCTGCGTTTCCCTGGGGGGAAGGGGTCTCCGGGCGGCGCGCCCCGGCTCCCTGGCCCCCACAGCGGCGCGGCCACAACGCCTAAGGAGCCTAAACCCCCCCTAGGAAACCGAAGGGCGCTTCGGCCGGGAATCCCCCTTCCCCAGGGGCGGCAGGCACCGTCCCGTCCGCGCGCTGCCCGCGGCAACGAACGCGCCGCAACGGGCGCGGAACCGCCGTCCCCCTCGCGCCACCGCGGCCATTTCACGCCCGCGGCGGGGGCCGCCCCCGTGCCTCCCGCGGACTACACCTCCCGAGAGCCCCCGCGGCGGCGCGCAGGGGCTGCCGGTCGGTCGCGCGCGGCAGTGACGCGCGGCAGTGACGC